TCAAAGACTTCTATCTAGTTGAAGAATCAAAAACTCAAAGTTTTATTACACGTGCACAGTGGTCCAATAGTGAAATTGAGACCTAAAGAAATAACCCAGACAGGCAGTTTTGATACCTTTAGACAGACAATAAATCTGTAAGGAATTAGCAGAACAGGGCAGCCCCAGTGGCGCAGCGGTTTAGCGCCGCCTGCAGACGAGGGTGTGATCTTGGAGACCCTGGATCGAGTCCCATGTCAGGCTCTCTGTATGATGCCTGCTTCTTCCTCTGCCTGTGTCTCTGCCTCTCCCTCTCTCTGTCTCTATGAATAAATAAATAAAATCTTAAAAAAAATTTTAAAAAAAGGAATTAGCAGAACATAGAAAACTTAATTTTAGGAGCTTCAATTAATAAGGAATTCTAAACAGAATTTGGGCCAAGGAAGTGAATTAGAAAAAGTAACAAGAGTTATTTACATAGTCTTCTAGGCTCTAAAGTTCCTATCCCTGGTGATAAGGAGGTCTCTTTACCCCCTAGCACAAGGAGCGTACCTTGCACATGGGAGATTTGCTTCTCACTTTCTGGTTACCAAGGACAGGGGCATAGTATTATTTTTGCATTGGCTGCTTCTTAAGTAATCTTTATTTAAAATAATCAACAGATCAGAGTGGTACATTTGTGAGTGGCCTGACTTTGGCCCATACAGATTACTTCTACATCGTTTATACACTAGGGAGAAGTAAATATATAAGGGCTTATGCCAGTCTGTGGGCTTGAGCTGTGCCACACTGTTGAGTCCTGCATTTGAGAAATGTGTTCCTGTGTCCAGAACCTTGAGAGAGATCCTGTCAGGTTGTATTTTTTCAGGTATATTCATAGTCTCTTACAAAACCTAAGAAGAATGAAAGAATAACCCAAAGATGGGCCTCAGGAACACAGCTGGACCCCAAACCCTTGTTATCCAAAGTAAGAGGCTTCAGTCTCCTGTAGACCTAAAATTTGATTCCTCAGCAAGTAGGAGAGGGTGATGTCCCCACAGTCCCTCTGCGGGAACCCTTCCTGTGAGGACCATGAACAGGAAGATGCTAAACATTGGCCTGACCTTGGTTCAAAAGTCTCTGGTTGTCTCTGCATGAAAATGTTAGAATTTGAAACTCAAATACTGCCTCATTAACCTGTTCTTTAATTAATTTGCATTTTGTCTTCTTAACCTTCTGGTCTGTTGTACTAATGGTCTAATGTCACTTTGTGTCATTTCAGATTTTTAACATTGTTCTGGTGATCTTTCAGTGTTTAGTTTATATGATTTTTTAAAAATTGTATCTTTATTAATCCTGGCTTGCTTTCTTTTACTAGCAAATTTTGTCTTAACTTACTTTCCAACTATTTATTCTTCTTAGCCTTATCACAATGACTTGCTTCTATTTTAAATTCTATTTTTTTAAATGATATTTCATTTTGATTTTTCCCCTTTCGTGATTTATTTTAGAATGACAAATGCCTGTCTTGGCATATGCCCAAAGCCAAGAGGTTGACTTTTGACATTTCAGTGTTAATACCATCAAGAGATCTTTCTAGTTCCCTGAGTAACTCTCAACTCAGTAAAAATTTGAGCTTTCCAAATTTGCCATCACTAAATCAGATAGCCTCCATACCACAGTACAGAACTCTTCTCCTCAAACCCTCCACCTGCCACTGGTAGCTTTATCAGTCAGCAATAATCAACCCAAAAGAGTTGCCAAAATGATAGTTTTATTATCCAAAATATTCATGGCTTTATCTTGTGGCTATTGTTCTCCATCCTATTCTGTATTGTCATCAGTTTTTGCTAAAGATGTGAAAATTGACTGAACCACAGTATTTTCATTAAAACATATTTGAATATAATTAGGCCTCTGTACATGGAAGACAGGTGAACACAATTGTAACTCTATATATTGCAGGAGAAAGTTCATATAACAAAGTAAACCCCAGGAATCTAGCAATTTAGCCTTTACAATTTTAATTATTCTGGATCCAGAAAATCTAGTAATGTGTCACATTGCTGAATTGAAACTTTAACTGTCCCAAGTGTTACATTGTGGTATAAGGAAACACATTACGTGATGGTAAGACGGGCTGATCTCTCAGCATTCTCCTGGCTTCAAAACACAGCCTTATTATTCTCTATTCTTAGTCACCTTTGTAGGATGGTTCATAAAGTAATAGACATTTGGAGTTTCTAAATTGAAAAATGACACTATAAAAAATCCAACTGGAAATTCTTATGATGGAAATGAAAAGAAATTGAAAAAGTCTAAGAAGGTGTTAACCTAGCTGCACATTATAGAAGAAATTACGTACTTTAATGCAATATTAACAAGCAGTGTTCCAGAAAAGGGGGTGAAAAAAGGAAAAGAGAAGAGGGATGATTGCATTTCAAATACATTTAGGAGGTATAGTTTCAAACAAAGTTAATTTAATGTAGGACTTCCAGCATTATGATCATGTCATCACAAATTCAATGTGTTCAAAATAGACATTTTGATTTCAGGGCTATAAAATCCCTGACCTATTTGAATCCAATTCTAGCCTAGTTCAGTAAAAGGGTCCACCATTTACCTGTTTTAGTAAGCCAGAAACCTAAAAGTTAACCTTGATTCTCTGGTTTTCCATACCTCTCTACCAACCTATCAGCTCTATGTTTGGAAAATAACACAAATTCAACCACTTCTTTCTATGTCGATTGATGATACCATAATCTAAGCCACTATCACCTTTGTCTGGGCTACCATATAGTCCCCTAACAAGTCCTGGCCTTTTCTCTTTTTTGGAAGACTCAAAACTTTCTTGACCTGAGGACTGCTCTTATGTGAAGATTTTCCAGATCTTCACACTTCTGGCTCCTGTTAGTGACTCGGGACTCGGCTCTCATGTGTTTTTTCCGGAGAGCCGTGGATGAGCATACCCTATCACATTGCTCTCTTTAATTACATTGTCTTTTTAACAGTTCTGGCAGAAACTCTCTTGTTCATTCATTTATTTACTTGTTTACCATCTGTCTCCACCACCCCCTCAGAGTATATATTCCATGAGAACAGAGCTTGGTGAATCTTTATCACCACAGTTGTCCCAGAGTCTAGTAGAGTCACAGTGTAGCTTCTTTGTCATTCTTTACCTACAAGTGCATTAGAAGAGGTTCGGAGTGTTTCCATTTTCCCAAATTATTGGTAATGCTTTTCTGACCAAATAACAAAAGGTTAATTATCTTCAATAGGAACACAGTTTTAGAAAGAAAGCTTTGAAGTATTTTCAAATTTTTTGATTTGCAATGATTCTGAGGTGTATCTCTTACATATGATGGAAGTCTGTAGTATACAGGGATGGGTAGATGGTAGGGAGGAGGGTTGATTTTCTCTGTTGTCTCCATACTCAGCCAAGTGAAGAGCAAACCTGAATGCAAGGGCTGAAGGATTCCCAGTTAAGCATCCGATAAACAAACAAAAAAAGCAGTCTCTTTATTCCTCGTAGTACTTAGATAAATGGTTATAAAAATTTATATTAAGCAAATCATGTGATGAATAGTTTTTATTTTTAAATATCTCAGCATTTATACCTGAAATATAATGCATATGTTCTTCTTGGAAATGCTTAATTTATAACATTCCATCGATTCACTAGCCTTCTCTTGTTTGTCTGGCAAATGGACTACATAGCCAATAAGAATTGTATCAAATACTTTTAATAAAGTGAAATGCTAAAATTACATGAATGGGATGATTAAATTGACATTTTGTGATTTTTTAATCTCACAAAGGGTTTATTAAGTAGATCTAGATACCTATTAAACAATCTTCTTTCTTAATAGCTACTTTCAAAGCCTGAAATTAGGCTGACAGCACTTACACATATTCTGCTAAGCTTTTTGGTTTGTTTGGATGGGTGGATAGGTTTTCACAGCAGTATCATCTTATGTTGGAACTTTGGATTTATGATGAATTCCCTTTCACTATAATGAAACTAAGAACCATGGAATGACATGGGGAAAAGTAGACAGTCATATATGAGTGCATTTATAACACTTATATTCTAGTTTATGCATTCTAAATTGGGTAAATATTTTTGCCTGATTCCTTTGCATACTTGCATTTTGTGGCCTATGGGATTATGCCTTTGTGAATGCTGTCTCTGTTGTCTAAATTATCCAAATCTTACCATATTAATCTAACATAATTTTCCCTAAGTAGTTATGATGTGTCATCTGTAAGGCTTCATGTACCATATTAAGATGTTACTGCTTTTAACCTTTTATTTACTTATTTGTCTGCATAATGTATTCTTCTACTAAATTACAAGATTTTTGAGCATGGGATTCATAATCTTTTAATTTCTGTATTTCTCAGAATCATTTATTTGTTTGGTGTACTATCCAATTTTGGGCCTTATACTGGATTGGATTGGTTAAATGTGTTTTTTGGGGATTTAGTGGGTAATTGTTGATATGGAGATAAATGGGGATATATAAAGAATTAGAGGTTTTGAGGGTCGTGGTGAAGGTTATATAGTGTGTTTGGTTGGGTTATGGGGTGGGTTGCAGGTTAGATGGTGTGGGACAGAGGTTTTATGATACAGAGTGGACAGTGGTATGTGGGTTGACTGGATAGGAGAGGGGTGTAGGGAAGAAGTAAATTGGGAGGGATTGTGGGTAGTTGACATGTATGTGGGAGTTGCTTGTTGAGATTTTGTTTGGAGTGTATGTTTAACAGTAGTGTTGATGTTTTAGTTGGTTTTGGTGGGGCGGGGTGCGGGTTGGTTTTCTGAGTGGAATGTGTGGGGAATGGGTGGATAGGATGAAAAGGGGGGTAGGATTAAAAGAGGGTTGGGGTAGGGTAGGGACTCAGTACAAAGAGAGTGGGTTGTGAGAATTTATAGGAGAGAGTGAGAAGGGGATGGGGTTTCATAGGGATTTAGAGTGGGGTGGAAAAGGTGGATGGAGTATGGTATGGGAGACGTTGGGGTAAACTATGTGTATGATGGTTAGATATAGATGGAAACTATCGAAATGCAGAGGGCCATGGGCAGAAAGCAGAGAGTGCTATAACCCTGAGTGTACAGGTGAGGCCTGATCACTACATTTAAAGAATGCCTGCCATTTATAAAATGTGACAGAACCATGTGAGGCAGTCATGGAATAATTAGATAATTATGTATTTCTGATAAATGAAATCAATTGTACTAGAGCTCATTCTACTATATGTCACAGTAATAAAGCAACAAAATTCTGGAGATTCTTAGATTAAATCTAGATTAAGTTGATCCAGGTCAGCACTGAACTTGCACTTTTTACAAATAAGTTTCAGTGTCCATTTGAAGATTCTGACAAACTTATATAAACTTGTGACACTCACAGTGCTCTATATCTGACTAGCAAGTCAAATGTTTGAATAAGGCTTATTCATCGTAGTAGACTAATAAAAACTAAACAAACAATAATGGTCCTCAGATTTTCAAATTCCTAAAACAGTTGCAGTAGGCTACTGCCATTGACCATGACACATTTCTTTCAGCAAATGGTCAGTGGAATCAGTGGGGTCATTGGAGCGGATGTTCCAAATCCTGTGATGGCGGCTGGGAAAGGCGAATGAGGACTTGTCAAGGTGCTGCAGTAACAGGGCAGCAATGTGAAGGCACAGGTGAAGAAGTGAGAAGATGCAGTGAGCAACGTTGTCCTGGTGAGAATGAACTGAGATGATCCCAATGGAAATATTCTGTTATTAAAAAAAAAAAAAAAGGAGTAAAATAAAACTATCATCATTAAGGGCAACATTTCCTCAGTTGGAGGACTGCTAACAATAAGTGGCAGTTTGTTTGTTTCCATAACCTATGAGGTTTCCTCTGTTTATGTGTCATAGACTATTTCTTCCGTGGGTTTTTAAATTATTTGCTGCAAAATCACGTTGAAAAATGTGACAATATGAAGGAAGCCACATTGAACAATAACATACCTAGATAGGATTTAAATTGGTTTGGGGAACAATTTTTTTTCACTCTGTTCATGAAATATTTGTTTACTGAGAACACAAAACCAGTTGCCTTAGATTATTCATAGTAGAAATAGAAAGACATGGTAGATAGCTAAGTGAGAAAATAAAGGGATGCTGTTGAAATTTAGAAACTTTTAAAATCTGCTGTTAATCCAGCTCCACGTAGGACTTTGGACATCCCTATTTCCTTGCCCTTGTGCCATTTTCTACTATAAGGAACACATTTTAAAATGAAAATATAAGGTCTTAATTAGTAGTGAAAGAATGGAAATACTGCTACAATAAAGGATCTTACATATAAGCATAGAAAAAAAAAAGGCAAGGTCAAAAACTGCCCAGATTATTGATCATCTATTTTTAAAAAATCATTAACGATAGATTCCTTCCAAATTGTGCATACATTCCATAAGTATTATTGATCTATTGAGAACTCAAATAAATGAAAATTAGGATTTTAGAATGATATCATAGGCAAAATTGTTATAAACATGCTAGAAAGATGATAGGGTGAAATTTCTAAGTTTCACTGCTGGGTATAAAGCAAGTGCTGAACTGAAAGCATTTGAAGACCCTGTTAGAGTCCATGTGCTGCAAGTAATGCTTTGTAGGCAGGCTAGCTTCTCTCCTCTGACTGTGTGATTCCAGTAGGTATGGAAAGAACAGGTATTTGAGGTTCCTTTTCAGTTCAGAAAGCAGTGGATTTCTGTCTCTACCAAACGTGACTACATCAATTTAGAGAACAACAACAACAACAACAAAACAAGTCATTCTAAGTGATATCCCTGAGTCAAAACTTTGTATTTCTCCATAGTCAGAATTCTAAAGACAGTCCACAGTTCAACAGTAATGCCAATAGAAACTGGACTCTAACAGTGACAATATGTCAAGAGGATTTTTTTAGAGCTTAGAAAAGATCTAAAATTAGCTTTGTTAATTCTTAAGGCCAAATCATTCAAAACTATAAGAAGGAACCAACAAGTAGGATTTTGTTGAGGAGACCTACCAAAGGTAAGTTCTATGAAATTCCTCCTGGGATGCATAAGAATTAAGTATTAAACAAGAACATTATATGACCAGGAAGAAATTCCATTAGGACAGTAGTCATAATTAAATAGGACCCTTTTAATATTTGAAGGTATCTAAACTAGTGTAAGCATACCAATGTTCGTAACTGGTCTTTTAAAACTGTCTTTCATCTGTGTACATAGAGTTAAAATGGTGTTGTTGCAGTCATATTTACAAAGATTGCCACCTGCTGTTTAAAAAACATTTTACGTATCTATTTACTAAAAGGATATTATACCTTATATGCTAGGTTTGTTTGCTGGCTTTCATGATTTAAGGCAGTTTGAAAAACCGTCATATAAAGCTATAATTTTTTTATATTTTATGTATGTTAGATATTGGTGGTGTATATTGTGGTATATATACATTTGGTATTAACCTTAACATTTTCATTTCACTCTCTTCAATAATATTTGAAATCTCTTAAAACCACCAAGTATATAAATAACATTTTCAAACTAAAATGAATTATTGAGTCAGCTAAATAATTTACAAACTAGTGCTTATACAGGAATAGAGTGAATTAATATATTACCAAGCTTTTGAAAACATCCTAAACCAGTACCTGTATATGAATCAACATTATCCATCAAAAATTATTCATTTCAAATATGCCTCTGCCTCTGTATAGAGTGTTTTTTACCAAGATAAAGATTTATTTTCTGTTTATCCTCTATCTTTTCTACGTGCAGTCATCTCATTCCCACATTATTTTGTCAAGAGAGCAGGATTTATAAATAACTCCGTTTTCCATAGTGGATTTGATTTATATATTGGCATTCCAACTCTGCACAATCACTTCTCTGTGGTCAATATATATTATTTTTGTGTCCAGTGTACTGGACTCTGAGAGTAATGACATGTCAGTAGGATTTTTCAGACCTTAAAAAAGATCTAAAATTAGTTTTGTTAATTCTTAAGGCCATGTGAACTCAAAATGATAAGAAGCAATCCTAATTTCCACATTATATTGCTCCAAATTCTCATATTGACAATATAAATTGAGAAGACTTTTAAATTTTTTCAATAGTTACTAAGGCATTTTTCTATTTTTGTCACTGACAAAGCCTGAAAAAATGTTTCTTTTAAAACGATGTGTTTTTTTCCTAGTATTATTTTTCATACTGTTTATTCTTAATTTTTCTTCAGATTGCTGGAAACTACAGTATTTATTTTTACGCTTCACTTAATTTGGATGCAAAACAAATTAATCAAGTTTGCCAAGAGATCCTCTGTTGTCAGGAAGGAGAAATATAATATACGCACATCTTTGTCTGGATAATTAATGACAATAATGATTAATCATCTGGATTTAATCAAAAGCTGTTACGATGTGTACTAAAAATGGAAAATGAAAAATATTTTTCCCAAAATAAGATTTTTTTGCTGGTAAATAGATAAAGTTAACTTATTAAAAAGAGCTTCATTACCAAAAATATTATGTTTTGTCTTCATAAGAAAAGAGAATTAGAGGAATGAAAAAATTATATATGTATATTTTAAATAGTTTGTTGAAGAATAGAGTAGCTACAGGAAAGAAAAATGCCTAATTTTTAAATTGTCCAAATTCACCAAATAATGATTTCATTGATTTCAATCTCATTGTTCATCTAGACTGAAGGTTAAAATAGTAGAAAGGTAATAGCTTCTCAGAATTTGTGTTGCTACAGTTTGAAAACATACTATTTTTAGGCTCTGTATTTTTTTCCCAAATATTTCCCTGGTTAATATCCTTCAGAAGGCAAATGCTACTGATATGGATTGGCCTATGTAACCTTGCAGGCTTCCTGGGAACATCCTTGCTCTGTTCCCAGGAGAGGGGCTGACTATTCATATAGCACCAATTCTTGGATCTACTATTCTTTAGTCATTAGGAGTAATGCTAGTTGGGATGTACCATTCATGGGTAGAATTTAATCTTAATTTATACATAAAATGTCCTTTTGGAGTTACAATTGCTTTACTGCGCACAAATGGTGAATGAATATTTTCACAGGTTGAATGTGCTGAGAAATACTTGGCAAATAAGAGATCCATATCATAATATATACAGTAATAGCAACTTAGACAAGAGATGTAGCAATGATTGTGATATTTAACTCTTCAGTATTCATACCAAAGCTAGTCAACGGTAATGTTTGTAATCCCAAACTTGTCTTAAACATTGTACTGCATTCATATTGGAATTTGTGCCCTGTGATTGGGTGACTATAAGCCCCCTCCCCACTTAGGAGAAATGCCATTCTGAGACTGACTGTTCCTTATCTCTGTAAGGTTGCTGTCCAATGGGATTATGTCTTCTCTGAAGACCAAGAGAGATTTCATTTAGTTTCTGAGTGATTTTCTTTTAATTTAGCTTTGGTAGGAAGAATCACAAAGCTTGCTTATTTTGAGCTCGTGTCTTCTTTGAATGCCTCTACTCGTTGTCTGGACTTGTGCTTTCAAATTTAGCACACCTAAGAATCACCCAGAGAGCTTTTTTAAAAAACACAGGTTCCTAAACCAAACCCCCGAGATTCTGATTCAGTAGGTCCAGTATGGGCCTTCAAATTTGCATTTCTAACAAACTTACATGTGATGTTGATGATACTGCAGATTACCCTTTGCAGATTAACCTTTGGGTTGCAGTGGCCTATAGTAAAAACAAATAAGTAAGTAAGTAAATAAGTAAATAAATAAATAAATAAATAAATAAATAAATAAATAAATAAAAATTAGGTGATAAAATTAACAAAAAGGTGGAAAACAGTCCTCCACATCAGCTACACTGGTCAAAATTGAGATCTCTACTAAACAAGATTGTAGAATTTTATTTTGTCATACCATTTCACAAATAATGAGGGATTGTTCCTGTAGTAAATTAATACAAGCAATCCGTTTCAAGTATCCCTAACCAACTCATTCTTCAACCAAAGTAAGATCTCTTTATAGTTGTTACTTAAATATATATATATATATATATATATATATATATATGTATGTATATATGTATATTCAGGCTATTGACTAGTTGTTGTGGACCAAAAGTGATGATTTAGTCATTTTCAGATTTTCAGTTTCCAATTCCTATTGCTCCTGTTCCATGGAGAGCAGAAGAAACAATGTGGGTATCATTGGAACAAGTTTGAAATAGAGCTGTACACTGCCAGGACACAGATATTCGTAGTCCTGCCATCTCTAGCAGCTCTCTTCCTGAGCAGGAGGACATTTTCACTGCCTCTTATCCTCCAGGCTATTAGCTACTATATACTTACACAGGTTTATAATATTTGGAGGGGGGCAAGTGTCAGAGAGCAGAATGAGGTCTTAGCTCTGATTGGCTTTTTCTTTCCTCAGTTCCCAGTTGGAGGAGTGGTGAATTAATCACCATCACTATGTTTGTCTTTGATAGAGAGGAGTTTAACTAGTTAATAAGTCAGCATTCTAAATCCTGTGGATTTAGCATTTTAAAGCTAAACATAATCATTATTAGAAACCCCAATATGTGAGTGTAAAATTTACTTTTTTTAAGGGGAAAAAATGTATACTACTCTATATTGAAATATTCACATACTAATTGGCACCTGCTCTACCTCTTTCATTCCAAACCACAAGAGTAATCACTAATAATAGTACTTTTAAGA